AAAGGATAATCCCTAGATTTAGCAATACTTTGAACCCCTATATTTAATACCTAGTAATGATCATTTTGACAGATAATTCACAACTTTAAAGCTCATAAGAATCAACTATGGAACTTATAAAAAATTCATATTTTGGGGTATCATCAAGAGACTTTGATTCAGCAGCATGTTTGGGATGAAAAAATTCATTTGAGTATTTTGGGTGTATCAATCACTGTTCTAGGCAGAAAGGGTACAACTGTGAAGAAGACACAGTCTCTGCCCTCAGGGAGCTGACACTCTAGACAGTGAGGCAGACCACAAATAAATAAATGTATTGTTTCAGGCAGTGAGTGCTGTAAAAGAAAAATAAGTATTCTAATTAGGCAGAGAGTACTGGATGGTACTGTTTTACCTAATTTATTTATTATTGTCTTTATCATTCATATTTTTTAGATAATCTCACTGTGTCGCCCAGGTGGAGTACAATGGCACTATCATGGCTCACTGCAGCCTCAACCTCCCAGGCTCAAGCAATCCTCCCACCTCACCTTCCTGAGTAGCTTGAACTATAGGCATGCGCCACCATACCTGGCTGCATTTTTTTTTGAGAGATGGGGTCTCACTATGTTGTCCAGGCTGTTCTCAAACTCCTAGGCTCAAGTGATCCTCTTGGCTTGGCCTCCCCCATAGTGCTGGGATTGTAAGAATGAGCCACAATCCCTGGCCTGTTTTACTTATTTTAAATGGGATTATCTTTATTGCTTATTATAAATATAACATATCTAAAGGAAAAAAAGCAAAATACCATATGTGTAAAATAGAAAGAAGAAGTCCCTTGACAGAGAAAAATGACTAAATTTTTCCCATTTTCCTGTGCTACTTCTTAAGAAGAAAATGATGCAAAACATTTTGAACATAATAATGCAGAGATCTTAAGATTCATTTGTTCATTAAACCATTGTTTATTGAACACTTACTATGTTCCAACCATTGTTTTAGGAGATGGAAACAAAGCAGGGAAGGAGACAAAGACCCTGTTGTCTTTAGGGGTAGAAATGCAAACATTAAAAAACAACTACTATAATTTCAAGTTGTGAAAGGAGACAAAGACCCTGTTGTCTTTAGGGGTAGAAATGCAAACATTAAATAAACAACTAATATAATTTCAAGAAAAGATAGGCAGGTATATTAGTCTGTTCTCACACTGCTATAAGGAAATACCCGAGACTGGGTAATTTATAAAGAAAAGAGGCTTAACTGGCTCATGGTTCCACAGGCTGCATAGGAAGCCTGGCAGCTTCTGCTTCTGGGGAAGCCTCAGGAAACTTACAATCATGGCAGAGGGTGAAAGGGAGGCAGGCACATCTTACATGGCTGGAGCGGGAGGAAGGAGGCAGTGCCACACACTTTTAATCAACCAGAACTCATGAGAATTCTGTCACGAGAATAGCACAAAAGGGACAATCCACCCCCATGATCCAATCACCTCCCACCAGGCCCCACCTCCAACATTCAGGATTACAATTCAACATGAGATTTGGGTGGGGACACAGATCCAAACCATATCAGCAGGGATGGAATAATATTCAAGTTTGGTTGAAGGGGCGGCAGGACTGTAATGGAATCAAGAGTGAAAATATTTCTTGGCAAATAAAAGGAAAGAAAGTTTATATCAGAAACAGGATAGAAACAGCAAAGAACAAGCAGAGATAGAAAATCTTAAAGGGAAGGGATAGAACGAAGTTTATGTCAGATGACCTCAGCTTTCTCACTTCAGTAGAAAGCCTTATCCTAAGGAGCTGCTAGAAACCAGAAAGAAGCCTAGGAATCCTGGGGTGAAAGAAAGCTTTTGAATGGCTGTAGTGGAAAAGCAGAGTGAGGGTCAACAAGATAGGAATTAAGAGATTGCTGAAGAGCAGAAAATCTCCAGAAAGCATCTCCATTTTGGAAAACTTGGTCCAGACTTCTGTTATCTGTCTTCTGAACGACTCCTATCACATCTCCCCACTCCACTATCCACACTGCAGCCTGATCAGTGTGCCTTGTCCTGGGTCTTTTTTCACCCATCAGGTTCAAGATTCATGACCTTCGATTCCAGGAAAAATTTAAAAATCATTTCATTAATAGTTGCCTCACCTCTGTTTTAAAATCTTTTTTACTATGAAATATACTATAAATTAAAAAACATACATTTTATAATATGTCATATTTTTATAAAATCACAATATCTGTAACCATCACTTAGGTTAAGAACTAGAACACTACCAAGATGCTAGAAGCCTGGGGAAACTAACTTAGGCAAGATAGTCAGAGAAGGCCTCTCTAAGAGCTAACACTGGATGAAAGACCTGAATTAAACTTGGAAGATCTGAGAGGAATGGCATTCCCGACAGAAGGACCAGTTAAGGGTAAAGATTCTCTGAATTTGGAAAAATCTTGACATGTTCCAGGAACAGCAAGAAGGCCCATAAAGATAGCACAAGGTGAATGAGAAATGTGGCTGAAGGTGACACCAGACAGAGGCTCAGAGCAGCTCACAGGGCAGCACAGACAATTGTAAGGAGTTAGAACTGTATTTTGAGTATGATGAAAACTACCGAAAGATTTTAAGTAGTAGCTTATGTGATCTGATATAATTTTGAAATTATCATTCTGGTTATTATATGGAAAATTAATAAGAGGGCTATCAGAAGCAGGAAGACCATCCTGGAGGTGAAAAGTTACTAGATCTTAAATGTTGTAAAATAAAAATTTGCTGATGGATTGGCTGTGGGGTGTGTGAAAAAAAAAGAAAAAGGTCAAGGATGACTCTCGGGTTTCAGACATGAGCAATTAAAGGCATAGTGGTGCCATTGGCTGAATTGGGGTGCCCTAAGGAAGGAGCATATTTTTCAAAAGCCATAGATACAGGAGTTAAGTTTGAAATGCGTATTAGATATTCAAATGGATATGCTGAGTAGGCAATTGAATATGAAAGATTGCCATTCATGGGGAAAGATTGGGGGACTCAACAGTGTAAAAGTTCACCTAGGAAGTAAGACTAGATTATGAAAGCAGAGAAACTAGCCCTTCAGTCCTTCAAAATTTACAGATAAGAAAAGGGGGAAATCAAGGAAAAATAAGCCACTGGAGTAGGAAAAAAATCCAAGTCAGTGTGCTGTCTCTGAAGACAAGAGAATTTTCCAAGAATCAGAAAGTGATCAACTGGTCAAAAGGCTGCTGGGAAATTGACAACTGACCATTAAGTTTGGCAAAACTGAGATTGTTAGTAACCTTAGTAATCTGAAAAAGATCAGTTTCTTAGAGTAGTGGAAACAAAAGCCTGCTTAAAGTTGACTGGAACAAGAAAGCAAAGTGAGAGACCAGTATTGAGAGTTTTTTTCAAGAGGTTTTGCTAAAAGGGAAGAAGAGATATGGGCAATAGCTACATGAGAATAAAGGGTCTAGAGAGTTTTAAAACTGGGAATAATACAGTATGTTTGTGTACTGAAAGGAATGATCCAATAGAGAGAATTCAGTGATGCAGAAGATGGGAGATGGCTTGAAGGGAGAGTACTTGTGACACAAAGTCCTGGATAAATTAGAGGTGATAGAACTGAGTACACAAGTGAGAGAATTGTCTTACATTGAAAGAAGGCTAGTTCATCTATGGTAGCAAGAGGAAAAGTACAGGAATATGGATTTTTCATGTGCACCCTAGGTGATTCTAATGTGGTTGGACCCCTAATTACATCTGGAGAAAGACTTGTTTAATTAAACATTTCTTATACAAGGAAGGGGAATAGATTCATTTAGGTACCAACAAAAGATATGAAGAGAAAAAATGACTCTGCAAAGATCTGGTCCACTTTCACGTAAACTAGGCTGTCAACATCACCCCCTAAAATGGAGATGAAGTGAAGAATCGCGAAGGAGTATTGTGGGACATTGCTACCATCATTCAGATTTTAGAGAGAGCACACTCCAGCTGTCTGCCCACTGCCACTTCCTACCAAATTCCTTCCCAATTGCTCTAGCCAGTGAGGCTTAACATTCTTTGGGTCACTGACTGAATTGAAGATCTAATAAAAATTTGTGCTTTCTTTCTAGAAAAATGTACACATTCTCTAGAGCTCTTTTGGTTGCACACCACAAGAACCATCTTTGGCTTCCAAAAACAAAAACAATTTACAGAAGCAAATGGGAGATGTGATAGTTAATTTTATGTGTCAACTTTTTTACACCATGGTACCCAAATATTTGGGGCAGAGGAGAGAGAGAGACAGAGAAGGCAAAGGTGAAGGTGAAGGACAAGGAGAAGGAGAGAACTTGCCAGCAGACTGCTTTCAGACTCGGATTGCAGCATCAACTCTTTCTTGGGTCTCCAGCCTGCTGACCTATCCTGCAGATTTTAGGCTTGCCAGACTCCACCCACAATCATGTGAGTCACTTCCTTAAAATCCATCTCTTTTTCTGGAGAACTCTGACTCATACAGAGAAGTTCACAAATACAAAGAAGAGGCTGACAGATTGACTGGGAAAAGTAAGAATTAAGTAATTCTTACTTTTGGTCATAGGTTTTGGTCATAGGAATTCTCAGATCACCTCTGCTAGAATGAATAAACTCCAACTGATTTCATTCTTTTATCGCTTGATTCATGATTTAAATTTCAAATGACAGCTCTTCAACTAGCTTAACATGGGTCATATACATAGACATGGGCTACTGAAGCACAGGCACCTTTGTGAATAGCTTACCAGGGTGTATTCAATAAGGAAGAAGCTATGCACCCAAAGAAAACCAGAATGATGCTATTACTAAAATAATGCAGAATTCAGCATACTAGAGCACCAAAAATATCTAATGTTTCAACTACATGTAAACATAAAATTTTACATATAATTTTGGAAGAATCACAGACTCTCTCTCATTCTATATACAGCCTATATATATATCTTCTGGGATTCTTGAGCCCTGCCCACTATCAGGTGAAGAACTCCTTGTCTAAACATAAGTACTGTATATTCTTGGTTCTTACCTCACTGAATGATTAGGCTACTGAGTTATTCTGGAAAATGGAGAAAGTGGTGGCTTCTTTTCACTGTTTCCTCCTACCTCCAGTCTCAGAATGTTGGGTTCACATCCTCTTGAAGAAGAAAGATGGCATTAAACTGTTGGCAAGACTTTACTGTGGCCCCTTATGATACAGGAAAAGAGGTCTGAAACAAAAGAATATAGATCTGAATTACATTTCTATCAACCAAGAGACCTTCAGCTTGAGAACCTCTTTGAGCTTCAAGTCCTTGCCCTTAAATTTCCCTGCTTGCCTCAATAGATATTGTGAGGTTCATGTCATTACCTCAGAATACATTTTGTAAAGTATAAATTTATGAACAAGTTTCAGATGCAATCCCTATATCTATGTAGATATATAGATTGAGAGAGAGGAAGGAAGGAAGGAAGGAAGGGGTGGGAGGGAAGGAAAGGGAGGAAGGGAAGGGAGGGAGGGATGGAGGAAAGGAGGGAGGGAGGGAGGAAGATAAGAGATGATAGACAGTACTTCAGTGGTTGTCAAGCCTGGTTAATAACAGAAACATCTGCTAATCTTTTAAAAATGCAGATTCTCAGATTTCCACCTAGACCTACTAAATCAAAATCTCCAGGGTGAAAATATAGATATCTTCATGCATACATGTCAAGTTTCCCACATTATTCTTTAATTTTCTAAATTTGAGATCCCCATCACATTTCATATCACAATTATTACAGTGACCCATTGTGTGTTCATTATTTTGATAAAAGTCAGTATTACTACTTGCAAGACTATCTAGACTTTGTATTTTAAAATACCATAATTTATTTCACACATACAATCAATCAGGAATAGTCATAGAATCCAACAGCCCCACTGAGGAAATGCCAGTATACCAATAGCTGGCTTAGAACAAATTCTGCTCTCATTTATATGCTCAGAATCATTAGAGTAAGATTTTACAGCTTATGATCATTTTAAGCATCATCAATTTATGAGTATGGCTATTTCCACAGTTTCAAAACTTCGCAGAGAAATCTACAGCTTCCTGCAGCCCTTTAATATGGAGATGATGGAATATATTCTTCCGTTGGGTAGAAAGTGAGAGAAATTAAGGAGAATGTAAAATACAAAATAATGGTACCAGCCTTTGTGGTAACAACATTTTCTTCATCTTCTGATATGTCTTTATCATTGAGCTATGAGGATTATTTTCTTCAATTTTTCCTTAGAGGAGAAAGAAATTTCACAAATATTTAAAAATGAAGGCAGTAGTGACCTTCCATAAATACCTTTAGTTTCCTCAATCTTCTCCAGTTTTAGATTTGCATTGTTTTACACTAGATCTTAATAATGTCTTCATGCCACATCACATTTCTTAAAAATGTTAACTGTTGTTACATAAGCCATAGATAAGCATGACAGAGGTCCTGTCATCTCTCTTGTAATGAGCACTATGTTTCCTTGCTGAGGGTGATGTTTTTAGTTCTGTTTTCCTGAGAGAATAAAAACAGCATGTTTCAGCTGAGGGCTGTGTCAAAGCCTTCCAGTTTGGCTGTCTACAGATGGGAGCACCAATTCCTTCCTTGCTAGCATCTACTACACAGAAGGACCATCTTAAAGATGCCAAAGTGAAGTTAGGAATAGTCTTAAGTCTGGTTGTTGATCTTTGAAAGAATCTATAAAGATATTTAGCATTTTAACATTCTAAACAAAACTGATTAAAAATGTAAATTAACAAGTGAAAATACTTTCTTGCATAATTAGAGTATCCTTCCTTAGAGTTTTAGGTGCAAATGACAGCCCCCAGTGCACTGCTGCATGAAACACTGGAGCTCCCATCACAGGTTAGAAAGAGTTCATTCAACCTCTCCTCCTCCTAGGTCCACCTCTCCTGACTATTTAAAAGGCCCCCAGGCTGCTTTCTGGAGTCCAAAACTCCAGTCAATCTACTGTCCAATCCCATTTAGGCCAAAATTCATAGAAGCTCCCTTAAGATGGGTGGAAGCTCAGCAGTAATGAAGGCTGGACTTCTTCAGAAGTTAATATTGTACAGCTTTTGGCCAGGCACAGTGGCTCATGTGTGTAATCCTAACATGTTGGGAGGACAAGGCAGGCGGATTGCCTGAGCTCAGGAGTTCGAGACCAGCCTGGGCAACATGGCAAAAGCCTGTCTCCACTAAAAATTAAAAAGAAAAAATTTAAATTAAAAAAAAAAATGGAGAGATCCAAGATGGCTGATTACTAGCAGCTCAGGATTGTAGCTCTCAGTGAAAGCACAGAGAACGAGAGGACACCACACTTTCAGATGAATGTTTGTTGCTCATGGACCAGGAGATTCCCAGCGGAGGAGCCTCACGGGTTGCCAGCGCGACTCTTGTGGCCGGCGTGGCAGTTTTGCCAGTGCCCTGTCGTGGCGGTTCTTGGTGCAGAGTAAACGGGACTGGATCCCCTTTTGGTCAACGTTTGGAGCTCCGGGGAGACAGAGTCGCCCATTCAGCTGATTGAAAAAGGGAATCAAGAGGGAAGCCAGACCCGAGATTCCCGGGCAGAAAAGCACCACGAATCTTAACGCAGCTGTTTTGGCCGGCGCAGTGGGTTGCTCAGATTCCAGCGCTGGGAATCAACAAGCTGGACATCCACTCAGAGACCTAATTTGAAAGTTGGTAATTACCAAGATGACAGGTGGATAAATTTACAATGACAGGAAGAAACCAGCGTAAAAAGGCTGAGAATACCCAAAATCAGAAAGCCTCTCCCTCTACAGGGGATCACAGTTCCTCATCAACAAGGGAACAAGGCCTGATGGGGAACAAGTGCGTTCCATTAACAGATTTAGGCTTCAGAATGTGGATAATAAGAAACTTCTGTGAGTTAAAAGAACATGTTCTAGCCCAATGTAAAGAAACTATGAGCCTTGAAAAAAGGTTTGACAAAATCCTAACGAGAATAGACAATCTACAGAGGAATATAAGTGAATTAATGGAACTGAAGAATACAATACGAGAACTCCCCGAAGTATGCACAGGTTTTAACAGTCGAATTGATCAAGCAGAAGAAAGGATATCAGAGGTCGAAGACCAACTTAATGAAATGAAAGGAGAAGACAAGATTAGAGAAGAAAGAGCAAAAAGGAATGAGCAAAGTCTCCAAGAAATATGGAACTATGTGAAAAGACCTAATTTACGTTTGATAGGTGTACCTGAATGTCATGAAGAGAATGAATCCAAGCTGGAAAATATTCTTCAGGATATTATTCAGGAAAACTTTCCTAACCTAGTAAGGCAGGAAAATACTAAACTTCAGGTAATACAGAGAACACCACAAAGATATTCCTCAAGTAGAGCAAACCCAAGACACGTAATCGTTAGATTCACCAGGGTTGAAATAAAGGAGAAAATTCTAAAGGCAGCTAGAGAGAAAGGTCAGGTTACCCATAAAGGGAAGCCTATCAGACTCACAGCAAATCTCTCAGCTGAAACCCTACAAACTAGAAGAGAGTGGGGGTCAATATTCAATATCCTCAAAGAAAAGAATTTTCAACCCAGAATCTCATATCCAGCCAAATTAAGCTTCATAAATAAAGGAAAAATAAAATTTTTTGCAAACAAGCAAGCACTCAGAGATTTCATCACCACCAGGCCTGCTTTACAAGAGCTTCTGAAAGAAGCACTATACACAGAAAGGAACAACCAGTATCAGTCATCCCAAAAACTTACCAAAAGGTAAAGAGTATCTCCATAATGAAGAATCTATATCAACTAATGGGCAAAATAGCAAGCTAGCATTAAACGACAATATTAAACTCACAAATATCAATATTAATCCTAAATTTAAATGGATTAAATGCCCCAATCAAAGACACAGACAGGCAAATTGAATAAAAAGTCAAAACCCATCGGTTCACTGTATCCAGATCCATCTCATAAGCAAGGACACACAAAGACTCAAAGGGTTGGTGGAAGACTTACCAATCAAATGGAGAGAAAAAAAAAAAAAAAAAAAAAAAAAAAA